AAACAAATGTCAGGTTAAATTTGTGTTTTTTCATGAATGAGAAAACATATGTTATTTGCTTACAAAACTACTCTGCCCCTCCTGAATTTGGAGAAAGGAAACTATCATTCACAAGATTTTAATCATCAGATAGGAGAACTGGCTCAGCAGCTAAAAGTGCTGGCTGCCAAGCATGACAGCCTGAGTTAGCCTGAGTTCAACCCCTTCTGGGTGTGCGTGCGCACACACTAAATAAATAAATATCATTAAAATATTTTAACAATTCAAATTATCTCTGAAATACATAGAGGAAATTTAAAAAACAATAGTGGTTTCACATGCAAATATATATGCTATTGTGTATTAAACGAAAGAATTTAGAAGATACATACTCCTGCCTCTGGAATAACTAAAATTGCTGCAGGCCCATCATGCCCATGGCAATCACTGTTTACCTGGGATTCTGGTCCTGTTTCTAGTTAATGCCCTACGGGCTGCAGTAGTTTTAGGAACAGACAGAGAAGCAAGTTCAACCTTGCAAAGGGACATGCACCTAAGGGTGGGGAAGACACTCACACTCACCTCAACAAAGGACAAGAGAATCTTCCTGACACACTGTCACAAAATGTGGGGCCTTCACAGGCTGGGCGTGGGGATGGTACAGTGGGAAAAAGCACTAGCCAGGCAAGCATTAGAAGCAGTTTGGGTGCCCAGAGCAATTTAAGCGTCAGGCAAGTGCGGTGGCTGCCTGTAATGCCAGGCGAAGCAGAGGATCCTCTGGGCATGCTGCTTACTTAGCTGGAACAGCTGGAATTCGAAAGCTCCATATCCAGAGAGACCCTATGCCTCAATAAATAAAGTAGACATCAACTGAGGAAGATACCCACATCAACTTCCTCAGCCTTTCATGTATGAGCATGTGCGTACACACTCATCCACCTGCATACATAACACACATATGCGCTGTGCGCGTGCCAAGAATTGCAAGAGGGGGAAGAGGATGATGCAGCAAATAAACAGAAAACTTCAAAAGACTTCTATTTATAACTCTTTATCTAACATAAACATTTGTTTCAGAGAGAGAAAAACAAGAGTCCATCTCTGGGGACAGTATCTAGTGGAACTCCACTGCAGCCACTTAAAATGCAAATGAACCATGATCATCCTGTCTACCTTTGTTTTAAAGTCCATGGCTTCACATACAAAGATGTGTATAATTTACATACAAAGGAGGCATAGCAAAGTGCACTTTTACATCTACTGGGTCTAGAAATTAAAACAACAACAGCCCTTCTTAAAAAGGCCAAAAGGTCTAGCAGCTGATGGGACAAAGTTAACAAAGTTAACTCATCTGGGGAGTTCATCACCTATCTGTCTCCGAGTTCTGTTCTTTTCCAACATGTTAGTGAAGACATGTAATTCCAAGTAAAACTTGCTGACTGATGTGTTTTGGGTTTCCATACATTGACATCCGACCAAACAGGATTAACTCAAAGGAAAACTGGATATACGTCTGTGTATAAACACACACATGTTCACGTATGTATATATATACACATTACATACATGTTTCAGAACTTTACATACCATGGATCTGTAGCAGAGGTACCACAGCATGACCTAACCCAAGGGCTCCCAGCATCCTGCTCTATGTTCCTATTGGAACAGAGTTGAGAAATTCTGGACTCTTAAATATGAAGGACATACAGGCATCTAGGATGGTGATAACTTTTGCCTCCATTTAACAGACATTCTAGGCCGACACTACTTAGTTTGTCTAGAACTGTGCATTCTAATCTCCCACTAAAATCTACACTCTTCCTGTGCATAAGCCTAGCACTTAAAGTAGCTTGTAACTACTACAAACATAATTGTGTGTTTCTTCTTCCCTGCTCAGAACAGAGTTCAAAGAAAGAGGCTTGCTTCCATTTCCTTGATCCCCTGGCTGTTTACAAACATGTGCAAACTTGGTGGCATTCTCTGCCTGGTGAAGGTGAGAGGCGTGCCTTTCTTGTCTAGGCAAAGGAGAGCTTGGGGAGACAGGGATGACAGATAAGGGGGGTGCTTTGGAGGCTGTGCTTATTCCTAGTTTTCCTGTCATTTGCCCTGGGGATCTCTAGAGAAATCACCTCTACTCTCCAGCAACCCATCCCTGTAATCTACCAACTCCAGGGAATTTATTTGTTTTTCCGCCTCTAATTATCCCCTTTGGTGAGAAACTGAGAAGAAAGTTTAGGCTGATCACAGAATCCTTCCCTCCACAATTACACTGCAAATCACACTGTCCTGAGAGGCTGCCAAATCCCTGCAGAACTCCTGCAGATGACAGGGAGGAGACTGTGACTCAGCACCCTGCAGCCTACTATCCTGCTGGCTGTGCCTGAGTGCCACAATCCATCTTTACTCAAAGGTGACAACACACAGAATGCCCTCCTGGCTGCTGTAATCACACTTGCTCAGCTGGGGAGAATCCGAGTGAGCTCTCCCATGACTCCAGCTTTTGCTTCCTCGATGAATTCTCTCCTAAAAAGTCTTTCCTTGTGTGTACTATCTGCTTTCTTTGTGTAACATTCCTGGCTGTCCTGGCATCTGCTTTGTAGACCAGGCTGGCCTATCTACCTCTGCCTCCCATGGGCTGGGAGAAGGAGGTCTTCTTGATGATGAACTGTAACACAATTACTGAGAAAAGGAAGATGTTAAAATTACAATTGCTGAGGATGGAGGCACATGCCTTTAATCCCAGCACTTGGGAGGCAGAAGCAGACAGGTATCTGTCTGGTCTACAGAGTGTGTTCAGGGCAGCCAGAGCTACACAGAGAAACCCTGCCTCAAAAAAAAAAAAAAAAAAAAAAGTGTGTGTGTGTGTGTGTGTGTGTGTGTGTGTGTGTGTGTAAACTTTGGAGTCAGATGTGGCTCAGTGGCAGAGCATTTACCTAGCAAGTACAAGGCCCCGAGTTTGACCTTCATATTTTCTTCAGTAAAGGGCCTAATTTGTACCTCTCCAGAGCCATGAGACTATTTGGCAGGGAAAGTTTATCCCTGGTATCAGTTCTTCCAAGTCAGGCATCATGTAAGTTGTTCTATATAAATTGTCTCACCTGGTAAGGTACACACTGCTATTGTTTCTATTTGTCAGATGATGAAATTGAGCTATAGAGATAGCAAAGGTCTTGGGAAGGAGGTGCCTGGTGTAGCTCAGGGGCAGAGCACTTGCCTAGCATGCATGTGGCCCTTTATCTGATCCTTAGTGTCACACACACACACACACACACACACACACACACACACACACAGGCACACACGCACACACTTTCTCTCTTTCTCCCTTCCCCCACTCAGCACTGTAGTTTGAATAAATGTTCCCCATAATCCCATGTAACTACCCGGTTGGTTCTCAGCAGGTGGTATTGTTTGTGGAGGTTATAGATGGTTGCTGGAGGAACTAGGTCACTAGGGGCAGGTCTTGAAATTTACCAGGCCCTGCTTTCTGTCTGTCTGCTTCCTGTTCCACTAAGACATGCAGGTGAGGAGTCCGCACCTCATGCTCTGGAGACCATGAAGCTGCCTGCTTCTATGCCTGGACTACTGGGATGGACTGTGTCCTCTCAAACCACAAGCCCTAAAAACTTCTCCCCCTTAACTTGTTTCTTGTCAGGTATTTGGTCAAAATGATGTGAAAAATAAGAACACACTCATGTACACATGTCTTTGCGCATATATGCATGTATGCAATGTAAGGATTGCTGAAGGGTGTGTGGCTGGTATATGACAGAACCAGGATATGAACCGATGACTGTGGAATCTGAGCATCCATAAATGGTACAACGGGTGTGTGCTTCCTCCATGCGAATGCTTGGGGAGGAAATGGGTGGCAATGAGAAGTGAAGAGGACCCTCAGCCTCCTTCCCTAACAGCCCCAGCTGCTGCAGGTGCCCCCTACCCACAAGATCGTCCCACGGTGGAAATGGAGTTGCTGGGCACAGAGATTAATGCAGTCTGAAGGAATGTTCATGAAAACAAAATGCCATAAAGAACAATGGTTGGTGAAGACATATTCTTCAGCCAACTACGCTGCCGGGCAATTTTATCAGTTTCCAAAACAAATCCTGCCTGAACCTTTGACTTTCCATACAGGACCACTCGTAATGCTTGTAGAATCTACCAGCATACTGTATGAGAGAAAATGTTATCTAAACCTTAAAAAGGACCTACAGACAAACTTCATGAAATTTTTTGAGAAGGAAAACAAAACACTGTGACACCGTGGGTTATCTATGAGAATGGTTTCACCCATAGAGCAACTAGCAGTAATTCTTGTCACTTTCAGAGGAAAACAATCCTTTGGCCAAATAGCACAAATACCAAGAACATACATCTTTCCAGTACCATCCCAAAGAGCCCATGATGCGATGCTTGTTGTCGGATCCATCTTCTACCTGCAACAAAGGCCGGACTTCCACCCTGTGCCTACTGCAAAGTTTGACCATGGGACATTACAGACCTACTCACAGCTCAGTGAAGGCACAATGCTATGGGCATTTGGCTGCAAAATCATTAGCAGTCTGGACACTGTGGCTGAATGCAGATTCTCATTCTGTTTCACCGAACAAGTAATTTCTCCCTGTTGAAATTCACCTTCCTCTTGCTGAGGAGGCAAGATGTGTGGGTGGTGTGATGAAAGATTCAGCCTGGTGAACATTACACACAGCTCAGCAGCAGTTGGAAGAGAGAAATCATTGACAGGGAAACGGTACTTGTGCTAAACTGTCAGACAGCAGCATTTTAAGATATGCCATCAAATGGTTTCCCAATGAGAATCATCGGCCGAGTAACCAGCCAGTCTGTTTATACATTTTCCCTATGCAATTGCAAACCACTGAGGCTGCTAGCTTTCGAACTGGACAACCTCATGCATATTTTATTCTGCAAACAGCTGCCTGTGGGGAAAAGAGGAGCTTAAGGAGGATCAGAGTATGCCAAAAGTGATCCGAAGAGACCTCTAGCATGGGACTCTGGCTTACCAGTAGTGGAGTCAGTCCTGGAAGCTCGGCCGCTTGCCTGCTCCTCAGTGTTGATGAGCTGCAGGTCCGTGTATGAAGGAGCAACACTAGGACTGCTGGTGTCCTCAGAGTGGGTGGTCCAACTGCTCTCGGAGGTCAAAGGGCATCTTCTTAAGGAGTCAAAGGAAGGGCATGTCCAGCAAGGCATGGTCAATGTGAGGGCTGAGAAAATCCAAGAGGATACGATGTAAATAGCTGTTATTCGCTTATGTCTATTGCACTTGCCTTACTTTGATGTCACACAAATCCTGTGCAGCAGCAGCCGTCAGAGAAGGAAAGGAAATACTTGGAATGAGTAGAGAGAAAACGGACTGACCGAGGTCTCACAGGAAGTCACTATCAAAAGCATATCAAAGGGCGGGAGAGATGGATTAATTGGTGTGGTTTGACTGAGAGTGGCCCCCACAGGTTCATATGTTTGAATGCTTGGTCTGGAGTTAGTGGAAAGAACTGTTTGGGAAGGATTGGGAGGCATGGCCCTGGGTGTGACCTTGTTGAAAGAGGTGTATCACTGGGGGTGGGCTTTGAGGTTTAAAAAGACTAGGCCAGGCCCAGAATTAATCCCCTCTCCCCTCTCCTGCTATTTGCAGATGAGATGTGATGTCTCATCTACTGCTTCAGTGCCATGTCTGCCTCCTTTCTGCCATGGTGATCACAGACAAACTTTCTGAAACTGTAAGCATGTCCCCAATGAAATGCTTTCTTTTATAAGAGTTCCCTTTGTCATGATGTCTCTTCACAGCAATAAAACAGTAACTACAACAGTAAAGTGCTTGCTGTTTAAGCACAAGAACCTGAGTTTGATCCTAAACACCCACATAAGAAAACAGGTGGGGTAGCAGGTGCTTGTAATCCCAGCATATAGAGGCAGAGACAGGGGACCTCGGGGGCTTGCCAGTCAGCCAGCCTACTCTGATTAGAATGCTGGGTCCCAGGGGGAGATCTTGTAGTTTCACAAAAACAAGAGGTGGCTCTGTTAATCTGTGGCTTCCTCACATAGAGACATACACATGTATACATACTGCATACATATGACATGAACACATGTATGCATACTGCATACATATGCACATGAGCATACACAAAAACAGATTGAAACTGGGGTCTCAGGACCCTCATATTAAAAAAAATCTAATTAAAGGAGTACAAATAACTTTAGGGCAAAATATAATTTCTAAATTTAGATTTTAGTTTCATTTGGGTCAAACTACAGAATTCTTGCAGTTTCATTTTGATCCAGGCCTTTCCTCCATTTTCAGTAGCATCAGTAAACTTGAGAAAGCTTACTGGTTTTTATTACAAAACCAGAGGCAGAACAAGTTTTGGGTTACGAGCCACACACACACACACACACACACACACACACACACACACACAAACACAAGATGCCTCTGCTTGGCTCAAGTCTGACAATAACTGGAAGTTCTGCACACTGCTGCATACACAATGGAGACGGACTAGGGCTGCTGGCTTGCACAGAACACAAAGAAAATATCTCCTGAAGGGAAATACATAGGGCTCGGCTTTATCTCCTTGGCTCAGCTATTCCAAACGCAGAGAGAGAAAGAGAGAGAGAGAGAGAGAGAGAGAGAGAGAGAGAGAGAGAGAGAGAAGGAGAGAGAGAGTTCCTTTTCTTTTTTAACTAAAACTTCTTAGATATCTTAATTTATTCTTAATTTATTCACTGCCCACCACACGTGCTCTCCACATTGCTGCATAATCACTGTACCATTGCAATTTGACCATCAAGATACTAGAGAGTGAATGGGGAACAAATGCAAACACCTCTTAGTGAGTAGCCATCCAAAGGTCAGGCACCTTTACAAATGTTTTTTGCATTTGATTCATTGATATTAGGAGGCCGGTAGTAGTTCCTTATGCAGGGGCAAACCAGCCCAGAGATTAAGAAACCCGCAAGATCATACAGTCAGTTATCCCAGCTGAAGCACCGAAGCTATAGTGGCAGTGAGAGACAGAAAGGGAAAGTTGAAATTCCAGAAGGAATAGAAGGTGCCAGTGCTTGTGGCAGTATCAAAAGGAAACAAAAGAGAATCTGTGTTCTTTATTTCCGTGGGCATGTATGAAACGCCTGGATCTTTGCACTGAGTGCTCATAGCTCCTTTTCTTTCAAACTATTATCCTTTGGCAAGTCACCTGTGAGCGAGTCTCTCCACAAATGCAAGGCTCCCTTCTACTTACTTATTCAATTTATAGCGTCATCGCTATATGGCCTGCTACATCCCTGTCTTCCACTGGAATTCAAGAGTGCCAGGGAGGAAGGACTTTTGCCCGTTTTGCTCACATCCTAGAATGCTGCTGGCCACAAGGCAGGCCCTCATTACTTGTTGGTTATGTCAGAAGCAGCACCACAAATCATTCTGTAACAGTTTGTATTAAACATAGACCATCAAAACCAGACCATCACCGCTAAAGCCCCTACATAGTTTAAAAACAAAGGGACACCCGTACAAATAAGAGAACTAGAATGCAAAGACGAGCTTGTAAAGGTTTGCTACAGGAATGCCATTCCCTAGATTAGGATCAGGTACTTTGAACTACTATGGAAAACTACAGCTCTTAGGTAAAGCATATCAACATTATGTAATACATAACAAAGAGCTATCAAGAAAGTAAAGAATTACCAGAGGCCAAGTGAAATCTGGGAGCTAGAAATGTAGGCAAAGCTTAGCTAATTTTCATACCCTGAGGACTGCTGGACAAACCAGAGGTCCTCTGCTGAGTCTGAGTATGTATGGCTTACGTGATGATAAGGGAGAATGGACCAAGATCTTCAGTTAAACCAAGATGAACAAACTAACAAAAGATCGGATGCACCAATGAGAATTCCCCAGAGGCTAAAAGGAGTATATCAGTATATTACCTTTATCTTCAGCTGGAGATACAAAGGTAGACATTGTTGTCTACCTTAGATTTGGGTTCAAGGGAGAGGGAAAAATTAGAATCTCCTGATAGAAGGTCCCACATAGGGATTTATGTGTCTAAAAAACCGTCAGCCTAGTTGAAATGCTTCCAGGTAGCTTCAAATACCCAGGAGAGGCAAATACTAAGCCTTTCTGGAAGGAAGTGCCTGCAAGCTAGCCACTTCAGGCAGAATGTCCCAAGAGGATGGTAAAAACATAAAAATAAGAAACAACAAAGTTGCTGGGTGGTGGTGGGGCACGCCTTTAATCCCAGCACTTGGGAGGCAGAGGCAGACGGATCTCTGTGAGTTCGAGGCCAGCCTGGTCTACAGAGCTAGTTCCAGGAGAACCAGAACTATACAGGGAAACCCTGCCTTGAAAAACCAAAATAGATTGATAGATATATAGACAGACAGACAGACAGACAGACAGACAGACAGACAGGCAGGCAGGCAGGCAGGCAGGCAGGCAGGCAGGCAGACCACAAAGTGCATAGAAAATAAGAGCAAGCAAGATATTGGAAGGGTGAGCAAACAGAGGCAGCCCTGCAAAGAATTGAGACTGGGTTTAGGAAGCAGGGTATGCAACTAGGTACAATATATGTAAAGAAATCAGAAGCGGGAAATATGAGAAAGGAACATGTAGTGATGAGAAACAGCTGGATGGATTCCCTAAGAAGAGAACAATTAGCTAACCCCCCCCCCCCAATACAAAATTGAATGGACTGCAAGAAGGGGCAAAGAGATCATGTGAAAGATATTAAAAAGAAGTAAAGTCCATGGTGGTAGACAGGAAGAAGTTCTCATCTATATATCTGGATTCCTAAGGGTGTAAGAAAATGGGAAGAAGGCAATATCTGAAAAACTGCTGGCCGAGAATTTCCCAGAATTTGTGAAAGGTTTTTCTTCTCAGATTAGAAATCCCCAGGAATGTCAGAGTAAAAGCAGACCTCACAATCAGATAAGACTAAAGACAAAGGGAAAAATCTTAAAAGCTGTCAAAGAAAAACTACATATTACTTTCAAAAGCACTTACCACCTTCTCAAGAGGAAGAGAAGACAATGAACATGTCAGCATGCTGATACAGGCTAAGCATCAGGATAGGATTTTACCCAGGGTGCTCCACTTTCCTTCCGATTGCCGTGATAAAACACTCTAATCAAAAGCAATCAGGGGAGGAAAGGGTTTATTTCAGTTTCCAATCTATCATTGAAGGGAGTCAGTTGGGAACTCAAGCAGGAACTTGAAGCAGAAACCATGGCATGACTCTCAGGTTTATGCTTAGCTACCCTCTGCGAGGCAGCATTTAGCAGGCGGAGGCAGGTGGATCTCTGCTGAGTTTGAGGCCAGCCTGGTCTACAAAGTTCCAGGACAGCCATGACTGCAAAGAGAAACCCTGTCTTGAAAAACTAAAAAACAAAACAAAACAAACAAAAAAGACCAAACATATTTAAGTAACAGCCTTTGAGAAAAACCTGATTACTGTCAACAAAAGAAGACATAATAACTTTAAGAATAAAAACCAGGGCGGTGTGGCAGGGATTAGCTCAGTTCATAGGGTTCTTGCTTAGCATGCATGCATGAAGCCCTAGGTTTCCTCCCCAGCACCATGTGAAACAAGCATGGTGGCTCATACCTGTATCCAGAGGTGAGATGATTAGAAGTTTAAGTTCATCTTTAGCTACAAAGCAAGTTTGAGGCCAGGGGCACTACATTAAGACCCTGTCTCAAAAACAGAAACAAAAAGCAATCAAACAAACAAACAAAAAACATAGGGTACAGAAATGGTGGTCAGGCACAAACACTGTAATAATATATTGAGAAGGTGATAAGGGGAAATAATGAATATCCTTACACTAATAAATGATAGTGTAATAACTATCTAATAACTAATAACAGATCAAATTGTAGAAGTCCTGGGACTTGTGGTTTTTAAATCCTGATTCATGAAGAAAGTTAAAAACTTGATTTGTTAGGGTTGGAGAGATGACTCAGTGGTTAAGAGCACTGGCTGGTCTTCCAGAGGACTCAGGTTCAATTCCCAGCACCCACTTGGCAGCTCATAACTGTCTATAACTGCAGTTCCAGGGGATCTGACATCTTCACACCAATGCACATCAAATAAAAAACGAAACAAAAAACTTGATTTGTCTAATCACATGAAATGAAGCGAACCAGTACTTATAGAGTTCCCATACGCAATGTTTCTGCCCAGGTATATTTGCTGAGAAGCTCAAACCT